GAACGGCTGCGAGGAGACTAATTAGAGTCCTATTATGAAGTGATAACACCTACTTGATAGTGTGATAGACTTCTGGAAAAGGGCGGGGAATTCCAGCTTGGCAAGATGAGATTTATTGCTCCCCCTTCTGAAAGAATCAAATATCTACACATTCTCTATTCATGAAAAAAATGTAGAATCTGATACGTCTTTAGACTTTCAAAAATAGGGAACTTCAGAATTGACGACAAGTACGAGATTGAGTACAAGTACGAGTTTTCAAACCAGCTTTTATTGTGTTGTCCATACTAGATTTCAATCCACTTCGTGTTTTTATTTCTTTGATGTTTCAATCTATACACAGGAATGCAATTCATGATTGATAGCACACCTAAGCCCAATTTTAAAACTCGTACTCAATCTCGTACTCGTTGTCAAATCTGAAATTCCCTATTTAATATTATCTTTGCATCGCAAGTAGCCGCAACAACGAAATAGATTTCGAAAACTGAAGGGTTCACGATTACTATGAGTGATGTCAAAATCTCAGTATCTTGGAGTCCTCGTCACAAAAGCCATCTTAATTTTTCAGTATCCAAAAGAATTTTCGAAGAGAAACATGTAAAGTTAATAAGTCCGATAACATGTCGATAATGATAAAAGAGATAATTTTCTAAGGTCAACATGGTCAAGAAAAGAAAAAATCATCTATTCAAGCTTTTAAGCTTGAGTTACGAAATAAAAAAGAATAAAAAATGAAAAAAAACCCGCGGGCTTCAGCAACTTTATAGTTGGCTTTTCAACTCCCTACTGCGCAGCTTGGCACGTCTGTGTTGTCGACGCAAAATTATCACGCTTCTTGTCTCTAATCGGTAGAGTTTAGTTTTGAACTCAGTATAATGTTATGGCAAGGAAAACATTATCATGGACTGCTTTCTCATAAATTTTGTCTCCTTACATAGCCTTGAATCATTGAATCGGAATGTTTTTGTCGTCCAATCACGTGACGCATTTAGTATCGAAGAGGTATCGAAGAGGCACGCAGGTGTTGTAGCCTTACTCGTCGAAGAAATTTCAGAAATTTCAAAATCATGCCAACTGTAGATTCTCGACCAGATTTATTCTCAAAATTGGAAAGACAATCTCCCAAAAAACAGAAAGAAAGTGTCATTGATCAGTTCAGGTCGGAGCCAGTCTCACCTTCAGCAAAAAATGTGGAACCAGGAGATCACCTTGTCTTCCCTCGAAAGTTCTACGACCATCATGGAATCTGCACCGAAAAAGACGGTGAAAACGTCAAAGTTGTAGAGTATACTGGTCCAGGATTCACTTTCTGGGGCTCAAATGCAAGTAGAGCAACGTCGTGTTTCGATAGTGGAGCCTTTGGTGTAGTCAAAGAAACGAGTTATACATACGAAGAATTGGAAAAAGGAAAGGTACTCAACTTGCTACACTTGAATCATAATACTAAGGCCACGTCCACACTTAAAGCGTTTTCGTTTGAAAACGCATCGATAAGTATCACGTTTTGCCCTTCTGTCCACACTAATACGTTTGAAAACGCTGATCGTTTTCATCGATCGAAAAGGGATCCTTTTGAAAACGCTATTGAAAGTGGAGCGCTACATAGATTTTGGAATACAAAAGCGCACTAGAAATCTAGTACTATTTGTTACTTATAACAGACTGAGTGGATAATTGAATTTCAAATTCACACTTAATATGACTTTTAATCAGTATTTCTGCACTCTGTCCTTCAAACAATTGCATCCTGTCCATCGGCTCAGTAGGACAAAACTTTACTATCTAACAATGGCAAAAAGATGGAGCCGCAAAGTAAAAGCATTATACGATCGTAAAATGTTGACAAAAAACAAAAATTATCCACAAACGCAACAAGAGCATGACTTTAAGTGCCCCTACTCACTTCCCCCGTCAATTCACTACGAATTCTAAATCTTATAATTCTTATAATTTCTTAATCGAAACTAGGTGAAGAAGAAGATTTGGCCCGATTCCCTCGTCAGATACAGTCGTTCAGAAATTATTTCAAGAGCGAAAAAACGACTCGGGGAAACCTTTTACGGCCTTCTTGAGAATAACTGCGAGCATTTCGCAAGCTGGTGTATTTGTGGTCTAAATGTCAGCTTACAAGTCAAAGAATGGTTCTATTGGTTCAGAGAAGCCTTCTATTCCGTTTGCGCCTCGCTAAAGCAATATGTATTGGCCCCTACAGCCCTGAAAAACTGTAAGTCTGAAATTGTGAAGTTTGTTGCAAAGGTTATTGCCAATTTCTCTGACGAGTTATCCAGCAAGTTAGAAAGCATGTTAGTCAAAGCGACTGATTATGGCTTCTTGATTGGTATCATAATTGAAGGCCTATTGGCTATCTATGAAGTCATTAAGGCTCAGAAGAAGTGGAAGGAAGGAGTATATACTGACGAAGAGTGGTATGAAAAGGTGGTTGAGGTACTTGCAAAAGGCACTTGTCGATTGGCTGGAGGCATCATAGGGTCAGTCTATTGTCAACAGTACTTTGGAAGCCTAATAGGTGGAGCCATTGGTGCAGGTCTGGGCCATATTATTGGTTTTTGCATAAGCTGGTATTACAAAAACAGTCATTATATTGACGGATAACTGATCAACAATCAGGCAAAACAATTTGCAGTCATTCTCATCATAGCTAGTTTAGCACATGACAGTATAGCAAAACTGCATAACATTCAAGATGCAGCTCAAGACTGATGAAACCATGCAACTGTACAAACTATAAACAGTGCTATTTAGTTGTACCAGAAACCTATCTATAAGGGACTTTTCAAGTCGATCCCTTATAGGTTTCTGGTTGGTAGGCTTCTGGAAAAGGGCGGGGAATCCCAGCTTGGCAAGATGAGATTTATTGCACTCCCTTCTGAAAGAACTATATCTGCACATTCTCTATTCATGATAAAAATGTAGAATCTGATACGTCTTTAGATTT